CGGGCCTCGGGCCTCCCGCCCGCCGCCCTCCCCGGCATCCGAAATGGCCATTTCAGAGTGAGCCATCGATTTTCTTTATCTGATTAATCCCGTTAATCCTAGAAATTTCACGACGGGCCGCAAGGTCTGTCCGTCTCGCGTTGCTTCCTCGCCGCGGCCAGGTTGGAGCGGGGGCTCGCGCGGGCACGCTGAGGGCTCCGTCGCCGCCATGACCCTGCTGACAGACCCGCTCCGCCGCTCTCCTGGGGTCGCTTGCAGCTAAAACTTCACTATCTGATGAGACTGGAGGCTCAGTAACGTCCCACCTGTTGGGCTGCATAAGCCTTTCTTTCACTGCAAATTTAAGATACCTGCCTCACGAGGTGAAAACATAGGGGTTGTCTTAATTTTTTGCGGGTTTCTGTGTTTTATCAAACTGTGCGAATCTTCTCTCTAATATTAACATTTGCTGACAGCAGCCGTAAGGATTATCAATTCATCTTTTCATCCTTTCTTTCCTGTAGCATCACAGATGGAGCATGGTTACTTAGAAGAAAAGCAAAAGCTAGCAGAATGTAAGGACATTTTCTGAGTTTCTTGTTACCGTAAAACCAGATGATTAATCAGGTTGGGGATGCCCCTGGAAAAACATTGAAATAACCTCCCACTGCTTCCAAAGTAGCTTTCTGCACATGCCGTCTAAGACAGTCACAGAACCACACAGAGCACAGAACAATTGAAAAGTTGTAATTTCTCCTTCCTGGGTTTTTGTGTGTCACCGAGCAATGTAGCATGTATTGCTCCTCAAATCCATTGCCAAGAGGAATCACAAAAATAATCTCAATCCAGATTTTTCGTTATGAAATATACTCAGAACAATAAACGTTTCCCCAATTGTCTCTTTAATTGAAATGCCAACTGCCTCAAAACTGAAAATTAACTAAAATACTTTCAGCCAAAATCAAATTCCCGGTTAATAATCAGCTGCCCTCATAGAACACTTTTAGTTTTGAAACATTTATGCCGTTCCTGTATTATCTGGTTAAAGGCGATTTCAGTTTATGCTATCACACAGCAGTGCTGTGACAGCTAAAGATTTTTATATTTGTGAAACTTTACTTTAGTTCAAGTTTTATAACTCCTGCATCGTTATTATTGCTTGGAGCGTTCATTAATGTTCAAACGTTATTATGTGACCACTCTGAAAAATCTAATTGCTTTCTAGACGACTTCACAAAGTAGTAAGTATGCTGTAAGTATCGCCTTAACATTTTATCTTATAATGAAAAATCACATGGAATTGTGCGTGCATTTGAAGGCGAAATGTGTTCTGGAAGGGTAAGTTATTTGCAACACTATAAGGTGTGTTTGGAGCACGCTGAAGCCGATGGGGGGGTGGGTGTAAAGGTGCACGCAGCCATGTGGTAAATCCATACCCGCTGTGGAGGTTTGTATGTCAGTCAGAATCAGTACAGCTCCATAAAGGTGGGGAGGTGATAAGGGGTTATAAATAGGGAGGAGCATAATGGATTTACATCCCTTGTGCACTGCATAGCATTATCTTACAGGCGCTGCCCCTATGAAAAGAGAAGCAGGCCCAGATAAACCCCATTACACTGAAGCCCCAACTGTTATCTGTTATACGTGTGACATGCAAAAGGAACACAAGCTACTGCACTTTGTTGCTGTAAATACAGGGGCGGCTTAGGTGCAAAGCACTGGGTGGCACATTTCTGAAAGAGCAGCACTAGGTAACTTTATTCACAGTTGCTGATTTGTAAATATAGTTTAGTATCTGTACAGGCAATTTCCCATTTTGCATATGTGGCTAAATACCCCAGTATTTATGAAGGCACCCATTGAAAATTTGATCTTACATGACTAATTAATATTATCATAACAGTTCCACCAACACTGGCTTCAGCCCAATAAAAGACAAAGAGAAGTTGTATGTTGGTGTGCTCTTTTGTTGATATATGAAATCCTTCATTTTTTCACTCTATAGCACTTTCTATTGTAAGCTCCTTTTCGCAGGGAGGTTTAAACACAACTGTTAAGTCATTCGGTCTGGAAGCTGGCATACAAACTGACAGCTTGGAGCTCAAAACTTTTCATCAGGTTTCCTTTAAATAGGCTAGATTTTAAGAAGACAATGTGTTCCAGTTTCTCATGGGTTTTATTGTACACTTATGAACAGAAAACTGCTCACTTTTAAATGATGAAACGTCACAAGTTATTAGAGCCTGATTCTCAGCCATAAAACAAGCCAATTACTAGCAGCTCCAGAGGACGCTTTGCCTCCTGGTTTCAGGATTAATGTATTAGGCCAGAATTTTCACAATAGTTTGCTGAACATTAATAAATTTGTTAAAGGACTGTAGCAGTCATGCACTTTCATACATTTTCTTGTTAGCTTGACTTGGCAGATTCTTCAGACCACATTTTCAAGAATAAATCCTATAAATAAGTATATTCCATAAGTTCTGGTGTTCACAATTACCTGTTGTTAATACCTGTATATATGCATATATTCATGCATACACATATACATATATATGTTGCAGACATGCTAGAGCTCGCTTTTTGAAATTAGGCAATAAAATGCTAGTACAAAAGAATAGTATCTGTTTAGGATTTGATAACTTGAATCTGAGTTAACATACTGAATGTGAGATGCTTTCTCATTGCAAGTGCTTAGCAGCTGGGTAAGATATTACATCCTGAGAGCTTTGTACACAATTGCCATGGTGAAGTCATGGTTAGTGTAGGTATTTCATGCTAACTGTTCCTACGGCAGAACCTTTCAAAAGGCTATTATGTGACAATACAAACCAATAGAAACCATAGCCATTTTCTTCCAATTATAGGTAAGTTTTGTTTAAGGTAACTCCTAGAAATCTTAGTTTTGTGTTTCTACAGAAAAGGAAGCTCAACTCGAAGAATGTATTTTTTATTATATATAAATGTATGTTTGTATACACACACACACATACACACATACACACGCATATATATATATATATATATCAGTTGCCTATATATACACATTTCTCTATCTTCTTTTTTTTTTTTTACTTCTGTTTGCCAGCTCGAGATTGTCCTTGGATACTGAAAAACAAGCGACCAGACAAACTGAGAGATACACTCAAGGAGTTAGAGGTATGTTTCAGAAAGTTTCAAGTACATTAACATATACTCTGGTTTTCAAAACTCTTTCAACAGCTTTAATTTTCATAAAGATCCAACTCTCCCAGTGATGATAAATGTGCTTTTGTCTGGCAGGCTGTTCTAAAACAGCTGCATCTTTCTTTGTGTGGCATGCTTCATCTATAAACTTGAAAATCAGAAGTATGTTAACTGATAGTGACAATGTGTACTGCCAACTCCATTCTCTTGTTTTCTGTTGTCCTTTAGGACTTAATGCAAAACAGTCACTGTATGCTGAGCAAATGGAAGAACAAACATATCTGTCAGGTAAAATATTTTGACAAGCTCTTGCAGTGTTCAGTCAGTGGAGCCGAACAGCCTTTCAACGATTGATGCAATAGTGTTAAAATGTTAACTAACACAGAAAATCATTGGGTTTTAAAAATTTATTTATTGTATTACCTAGATTGTGTTTATTTAAATTTCTAACCTGAAATAGATGCTACAAAACAAAAATACAGTTTTTATCAACAAGAAAAATTACATTAAAGGGCCCTGATTCTGTGAGATTATTATTATTTGGGGAAACTGAAAGCATCCTGTACCTCAAAATAGCAGGTTAAGGGAGCAGTTAAAATATATAGACAGGTCTGGAAACTATGATATATTACATTTTTCTATCTTAATTATTTACATGTCTGTGGTAAATCTTTTTACTTTGTGCTTGTGTAAGATGAGAGGGAAGCCATAACTCTAAACCAGCTAGATAATTAATCGACTTACCGAATAATAAATATTGTGATGTGGCACACATGTAGCTACATTCTTTGTCTATATAAGTTCCACGTATTGTATACAAGAAACAACTTTTCACATCCTCATTAACAAAGAACAGTAGAGTAGGTGAGAAATCTGAATGACATGTGCTCCTTAATCACGAGCTTGTTCTGAAAAACATATGTAATGTATTTTGTAAGTTTCTGCAGTCTTCATTGTTCATGAGTAATGTGCATCATGTTTGAAGCTGCTTTGGTATAGGAAGTACTTGTAAATATTACTAATACTATTTCTAAAAAGAAATATTGTGTTCTAACTTTTATGCTTCTTCAGAGTCATAATTTTTTTTCTTCTAATTCAAGTAGTTCCAAATGTGTGTCAGCAGGATGAATATTAAATATTCAAACATCATACAGCTGCAATTCCAGAAATGTCTCAAAGAATAGCAAAATTTTTAGAGACCTGACATGCCAAATAGTATATAGTCTTTTTGTATCGGTAATAAAGATATTATTGTCTAAGCTACATCTGCTTATCAGATTTTATCGCTAGTAAATGTATATCATTCACATACAGATTACATAGTATGTATCAGTGAGTGATAATCTTCTAGAACTGTTTAAATATTAATTGTATGTTGATTTAGAGGACTCTTTCTGTTATTATTGTTCTGATTAGGAGAGGAATTTGGTTAAGAAATACTGAGTCAATTAGATGTGAGCGTACTCATCTGCCTCTCAGTTTTCTGTCTCTTCATTTGCTTTCCCTGTCCATTCTCCCTCTGTCATTTTCCTTCCCCTCCCATCTATCTGCATCCACCCGCATTCCTTACCAATACATACTTTGCACAGTGAACTTCTTGCCAAAAGTTGATCATCCTGCCTTTGTAATGTAACACCTTTGGTTGGCTATCAGTTCTTATAAAACTTTTTTTGACTCAGCATCTTCTAAGTAGTTTCAGGCTTACATAAACAAAAAGGATTCCAACACAATTTTACTTATTTCTTGTAGAAGATGGGAAAGAATAGAGATGGATGTTTTTATCTTAGTATATTATGTCTGGTTCTATACTTGATTGAATCATGTAAAGGGGTAGCTTGATAAATTGAGTATTTTTTTAAGGTTTTTTTTAAGTGGCTTGTACAGGCAGAATATGAGTGATAGGATATCTTAGAACATAGCCAGAGTTATAGGTAAAAATAGTAGTCATTTCTCTGTCCTTAAGTTTCTCAATCACAAAACAAAATGGTTTTTTATATAATAATGCCTGATAATTTAAGTTTCCAACAGGGTTTAGAATCTTCTGCCAAAACAATTATGCTCTTCCATTTTCTGTCTTCCTGAAAATACAAGCTCTCCAAAAAATGAAAATAAAACAGAGAAAATTTAATAAATTGGGAGAGTCTAGAACAGAAAAGCCATCTTCTATCTTTTTTTTTTTAATGTCAAACAGTTTGTTTTTCTTCTGCTTATGTGTCTTTGAGGATTTTGCAGGAGTATCTGGACTCTCCCTCTTTGAAACAAAGGTTCTGAAGCTTCTGGAAAAGATGTACATTTATTTTTCAGTTCTAAGTAGGAGACTAATTAACTGTTTTAGCAGAAAGTGCTTATCACATAATGGTGCAATCTGTGTCATAGCTCTCCTGTATTCACATGCTATTTTGGATTCATACTAGAGCAGCTGCTAGTGGAAAAAGAAAAGTCCACATCTGCATTAACTTTCAAGTGTAATAGAAAGCAACATGTCAGACAAACAGCTTGGAGAGCATATAGTCAATTACCCTTGACTGTCATAATTTTTAGTGATTCAGGCTAAATCTGAGTATATGGTTTAATTATAGTATCTCTCTTTTTTTAGCTCTTTGGTTTTTAGTGGCAATACAATGTCAAATAAATTCATTTATAGATGTGAAAATATTTAACTCAACACCCATCACATTCTTCAGTAATGTTCTGTATATTTGAATTGCCATATCTTTAGCTGAACCAGGAAGAATTCCCTTTGTGTTGTAATAACAATGTGCTATCCAAAAACTCAATGGCTGTTGTACCTTTAGCAAGACAAAACAAATGGAAAAAAGTCTGAAAGGTGATACAGTGATAACAAGACTATAATTTAAAAAGTAGTATGATTTCCCTCCAATTTTGTGATAATTAAGCATAGGACTGCTGCTAGTGTGCCTTCTGGAACTTAAACATCACTATTCCTAATCACTCACTGCTTCCTCCAGTACTTCCAGCTTCTAACTAGCCCACAGGCAAAAATTGGGGGCTGTAAATTTAAACATGCATCTTCTAAAAATATGTGTGCTGTCATGTTAACCATTTGTGTGCAAGTGACCAATTACACTTCATGCAAATGCCTCAATGAAAAATCTAGTTAGTTTGCATGCAGATTATCTTGTCCATTGTATGAATGTATTTCTCAAAATTGGCTCTTCTATATGAATGTGCCTAGAACTACTATAATGCTGGCCCAGCTTTCTACTTAATATTTCATTTTATGCATCAGAACTTCTCCTATTACTTTTTTTTTTTTTTTTATACAATCAGTGCATTAGAAGTTTCATCTTTACTTCCTTGTTCATTGCCAAAAAAGGAATCTGTTGACCTTTATTTTTGCAGTCCTAAGTATACATTCTAGTACTGCTTAGAGCTTATGAAATAGATCATGTGCCTGTTCCTGTAAACATAACCTAGACCGTACAGGGATTTTTGTCAAGGAGATCGCTCTCCCATTTAAAAGAGCTTAGTTGAGCCTTAAAGGACTGAGGTCTTTTTTTTAGCTCTGTTCCTACTTGCTCCAATAGGGTCTGAATGCACACCAGTGCTGTTAGGTACTTCTGAACCCCAAATTTGATGACCTGTGATGAGTTGCTGGAATAATCCTGTAATCTCCAGTTATCTGATATCAAAGGAAAATAAATAGACCATAAAAGAAGGATGACGGAAAAAAAGACAAGAAATCTTTACAATAAGATGTCACTGTATTGTTTATAATTAAATAAACAGTTTAGTCCTCGCCTTGCCCTGCTGAGGAGTAATAACCTAAGGAATTAATTTTATCAATATTGTTGAGTTTAGTCAACTCAGCTCTGGCTGCTTCCCTTCCTCTTGGTCTCCTTCTCTAATTCTTTGGAATGCTTTTAAGTTTTGCCACAAAATCATGAAATCAATCCTATGAAATTATGCCATTGGTTCAGGATGGTTTTACAATATGAGGTAGTAAAAGTTAATGAGATCTAGCCAAAAAATTTTATTTCCAACATTTTTTTAGTTTTACACTTGCATTATGATGTAGAATTAAACACATGCCAACACTGAGTTATTTTATTGTATAAAAGCCAAGCACTAGCTGTGAATCCTGTCTGTTACCTGCTAATGAAAATGATTTATATATTGTTTGCTAAATTACTTTGATTTGATTTGATTTGATTTAATTTGATTTGTGTTGAAATTTACATATGTCCATGAATGGTTTTTATGTTGCCATCATTGACATACTTAGAACTGGATTCTGAATTGAGATACACAGCAGTATTTGCTGACATGGCTTGTTTTATCAACTACAATGCCTATAAGCAAACTGATTTAGCAAGATATGTGATGACATACAATAACACATCTGATACCAAAATAAAGACATTCTGGCTAGAATACATGAGAAGCTAATACCATCACCAGTTACTGAGAGGAACTCTGCCCTCGTATTAAATTCTTTTGGTTGCTTTTGATCACAACCATTAATGTGTTGTGTGGTTTTAGAGATTTGGAGCTAGAACTGCAAATGCATTGATTATTGTGAAACGGTAACGTGTACTAACAATAACTTCATCTGTAATGAGGCATGCAACAGAGTAATTACGGTAGGATGGCTAAGAAAGTAATCTGGAATGAAGAGGTGGGGAAAAACCCTGGGAACCTGCTTGAACATGAAATGCTTTGCAATTCTCTTCTCCTTTTGCATATTCCTTTGTCAGTTGGGCTCTGTAAGGGAAAACAGTTTGCAGCAATATTTTTTACAGGCATATTTTCATCTCTTCCAATTTTAATCAGATAGAAGCAAATCCTGGCTTTGCTCTGCAGATATCTTTTTAGGTAGAAGGACTGATAAGCAGCTAAGCTGCATGAATGGGGAGTCAAGGGCTAAGGCTTCAGAGGATAAAGGAATCCACTTAAGTACTTACTTAAGTTCTACTAAAGTCCGTAAGTCATGAGCTTGTACTTAAGTCGTTTGCTTATTGTAAAGTAACTCAAATACATACTGGAGCACTTTGCTGTTGGGTAAGGGCTAAGTCTTCTCCTGAGTATCCTCTGCTCCTTCTTATGTCTTTCTTGCTCACTGGAGGACCATTTTTGTCACACAAAGTACATAATTCCTTCTCTCAAAGTCTTCACATTCAACTTTCAGTATATCAGGTCCTTCCTTTCCAGTATGTAGAATGACCAGCTGGCCAAAAAGTTTACTCAGACGTTGAAGTACAAAGACTATACCTATTCTTCCAATAGGTATTGAAGTCATGCTTCCATATTTTGTTTAGGAGTACCTTGAGACTGCTAAAGCTATAGAGATGACTCTCTTAATTTTTATTCACAACACAGTACTTCAGTCTGAAAAATTTGTGGTGTTTCACTACTGTGAATTTCTTTCCCTAATTTAATATGTTGATATTGACTTCATGCCTTGTGTAAGTAATGCCTCTTACGTTGGCTTTTATTCCTTAGCAATGATGGGCAATTCCCTTTAGCACTACTTTTTGGAGTTGGATCACTGTGTATCTGAGTTCAACCCAAGTTTGCAGTCTCCCCCATTTGTTTTATATTCATTCGTGCTTATGATAGGACTGCTCCCATCCACCAAAATGTGATCCTAAGCAAGCTTATGTATAACAGCACCTGAATCTTACTATCATGTAAGTCTTTGCGTAGAGTACACAGTAAGGAATTGAAATAGTGAAGTTTTAATTCAAGCACATAAATATTTTCTGGTTTACATAATTTTTTTGATGAAAGGTAATATAGATTTGTAGAACCATAGAATCATTTAGGTTGGAAAAGACCCTTAAATCATCAAGTCCAATGTCTAACCTAACACTGCCAAGTCCACCCCTAAACCATGTCCCTGTGTGCCACATCTATACATCTTTTAAATACCTCCAGGGATGGTGACTCAGTCATTTCCCTGCTTTATTTAAATACCTGCTTGTATTTCAAGTTAACCTTTAATAATTATTTTTTTTAAAAGCCTCCCTTCTAATCTAAAGGATTTTTAAAGGGAGGTGGAAGAAATACTGACCTTATGTGGCCATATAGTGTGTAAGGTCTCTGATTTACTTAGAGTCTGAAGTTCCTAGAGCACCTGTGTGGAGCACAGGTATATTACCAACCATGGTAAGTTACTATAGCAAAAATTGGTTAAATTAAAGTTTAAGTTTTGCCCAAATATCTCAAACTTATGTGGAAAATGATGGGAAAGAATGTTTTACTGTAAAAGTAAAGAAGGAGGGAGTGCAACGAAAGAAACAATAAAAGCCATGGAAATTAGATTAGTTATACCTACTTTCTGTCATTCTGACATGCCATACTGATAGCAGAGATATCTATGCAATATTGAAAATACATAGCATTGGTTTAATGGCTAGTTTCATAGATGTGAAGCAAACCGCACCCATTAGCACAATATTTATATTTATATAAATGTCTTGGGGTAGTTTTCATAGATTTCTATTCTAGCTCTGTAATAGGTTTGTTTTACGTCATTATCAGGAAATGAACATATATGTATAAAGTGAATTTACACCCTGAAACACTTAAGAGTTAAAGAATCCTAACTTTATTTGTTGCTCTCAAGCCAAGAGTTCTCACGCATGTCTCTGTACAGCATCGTGGATGGAACATATTAGATGTCAGTAGAATGACAAGCCTTATCCCATAACGTAATCATTTAAGATCACTGACCATCTACAGATCAAAACACATTTTTTCCTGTGTTTTGCCTCTCCTCTTTACCTGGATGAATTGTATGGATCTCTACTCTGTTAGGTAAACCTAGAGGCTTCAAACAGACTTATGTAGGTTTTTCTCCCAGGTTAACTCTAGCTTGCTCCTCTCACTTCCCGAGAGGAAGCATGGGAACAACGTGCCATTACAGTAACATTTTTTATGGGAAGAACATAGGTCCCAAGCAAGGGTGTAGTAGAAGACACAAGTTGGAGAGTTTGTTTATATGACTGCACCAGATCTCTTATTGGCACATAACCCAGAAGGATTTGGGTGTTTTACTCTTCTCTGGCAGGCTGATACACATTCAGTAATTTAAAACTGACCTTTCTAGAGTATTTATGTAATTTTGCTTGATTGTTGCTAGCATCACAGTTTGTCAACCTCTGGGTTTCAACCCTCAATTTTTCAACGAGGTTCTTCGGACAGTTATAGCTAACCGTAGTCAAACCTTTCTGGAATTAATATTATCAAGTTGGAAATAAATTGGGATTTTATCTAATCTAACTTCAACGTAAGGATAAATTGAAGTTTTGAAAGATTGTAATAAAAGCTGCATAAATGTAACTGCCTAACATTTTTACTAGGACAAAATCTCAAAGGATATCTGTCATGGCTGGGAATATTGAAACATTGACTATATATTTATCAAATGAATGTATGATTAGACTTTGGCAGGATGGGAAATGATCATTTGTGCTTAAAAAATTCATTTCACATCACAGGCATTTTTTGTTTCTATTCCAGACATGATTAGAATTTATTTTCAACCAACTGTGAGTTGACAGGAAGATAGATTGGGAAAATGTTGGTTAAATATATTAGTCAGGGCAAGAAGGTAATTTATTTAAATATGCTTGTCCTGTTCTTTGCTACAGAGAACACAGAGCTATAGTAATGTAGCAAAATACATATAACTGAGAGTTGTCATAGCTAAATTGCTGGAGGCAGAGCACTGCACAGGAGAGAAGCTCAGTTAGATCACTACATTTCTGGCCCCAGTACTTTTTATTTGTTATACATTCCAGTAGATCTCACTGCAAGAAAGTTCACCTGGTGTTTATGTACCAGTATGATGTTCTAAAAAGTATATTGCATCCATGTTTGTCTCACAGCTCTAGTGTAAAACCAACAAGGAATTTTTTCTGCCAATTTCTACTACAAGAGCAAGTATTTCTCTAGTAGTAAGTTTTTTAAAAGCACAGAGATTTATTTAAAAATATGCTGTTAGGTAGAAGAGTTGGAGTCCCAGATTTCTGGCCTTTGGTGAGCCCTCTATGCTTTCCTGCAGTGGTCTTTCCACTGAGGACTCCCTGGGCAGAAAAGATTGTTCAGCAAGTTTAGGGCTGGTATAGCCTCTGCTGAACAAATAATTTTTTTTTTAAATTTTTTTTTTTTACTGATTAGAGGGAGATGAACCTAGCTGCCAGAATGAGTCCTTCAGAACTGCTGCCATGTGGCATTAATGAAAACTTCTTTAACTTATGCACTGGGGTCATCTAGTTCAACAGGTTGCAGGATCAGAGTTGGCACTGGAAGGTGAATTAAAAACTTGTGTTTTCAGTACTGCTTAAGAAGATCAAAGTCACAGTAGTAATTTTTTTCACTGTTCTTACATTAAGGTTTCTGTAGAACCCAAGTTTTGTAATGAGTTAAACAATTAATACGGTCAGAATTTTTTTTTATAAACCCCTGACTTTATCTTTTACTATGTTTCTAAGAAAACAGTATTTTTCTAGTAAAGCTCTTCATATACTTCTGCTACTGGAGTAACTTGGAAAAGTGAGGTCAACTCACAATGGAGCAGGGAATTTTGCGGCTTTTATTTCCTGTATTTCTCCGGCGTACTAGTTGCATTTGGAAAATGACTAAGTTTAATGGTTTAATTATGCAAAAAGAAATGGTTTTCATAACTCCTCCCACTGAGCATTCTCTTTCATACAAGATACGGATCAGAGGAGCTGGTAAATACTGTGACTTAGTCTTCAGGATTATATGTATCATCTAATTGAGATTAATTAGGCAGAAATAATCAGTTAACGCTGAAATAAGCCTCTGACTATTCTGTACAATGGTTTAAATTTCTTCTTTCTAAGAGACACAGCTACAACCTTATGCCAAGGAATATATGGATTTGGTAGGAGCCCACAGCTATCACTGTCGTAGGGCACCATTATTTAATTGAACAACATATGAATGATCAGAAATAACAAGGATATCAAAAAGGTGCTGGTTTTAATCTGTGATAATAATGTAAAATTACATGAAGCCCAACTTTATGCAGTTATTTTATACAGAAGCAATAAGGTCCATGGATGTTGAAGTGATCAGTGTCATCCCTTTACTCATTCAGGACAGAATTTAGATTTTAACAAATTAATTAAGTACATTCCTGCCACATTTGGGGACTTATCATACATCATCTTCAAGTGTTCAGCAATTGTAATTCATGTACCCATATAATTCAGTGTTGTATTACATCTCTCTTTTATTGAAAAAGCTTTCAAAGTCATTATAAGACATCTTCACCTCAATGATAAATCTTTTCTGTAATTTTGAAAATTGGATGACTATGTAATGGACAGCTGCTAATATGTACCTTGGAACGTTTCATTTTATTAATGATTCTTGATGTCTTGTTTTCTCACTATTTGGATTTAGCTCCTCTTTCACTCAGGTATATTGGTGTCCCTAAGCCTTTCTGGGCCACAGCTGGAGAAAGTGGTGATTGACAGGACCCTGGTGGGGAAGCTCATCTCCGACACCATCAGTGATGGTAATTACACCCACGTGCAAATCAATTGCCTACATTAACAATAGAGTAGAGAAACAGTATGTCAACAGGTAGACTAATTATTGCCACTGGGGACTTGCAAACACAACAAGTAATTGCATGTAATGCCATAGTTACAACCCTCAGGACTAAGAACGCTTTAAGAATAATATTTAACATCAAAGTTTTTAGGCTTGTCAAATACTGAATGGGTTCTAAAATTCAGTTTCTTACACATTTTAATCTCTGTGAACATGCCACTTGAACTTGTCATGTTTATTTCATAAGTGGGAAAATGTGACAGGACCAAACATTAGCCAACTGATTAATTACATGGGATAGTTATTATTAAAATATTTACTTATTAGAAAAGGCTGGATAACATGAATTATGTGGAGGTGTTCTGATTTAATTTCTAGATTTCCAGAATCTCACTACTGTTATTAACTACTGACTGCTAAAAATAAAGTTTTAGTTTAATGCAGAAGAAAACTTAGGAAAATGTAGCTGTTTTCAACAGCTTTATAATACAACTGTAGCTTTTTTAATGTGTCTCTATAGAGCTCCACTGAGAACTCAACCAGGTATCTTGGCATCTGCATTGCCATGAGTATGGAATTTCAGTGTGAGCCAAATTACATGCGCATTATCTTCCAAACTCTTAAAAAGTGCACTCAGATTACATCCCTTTATTAAGAATATATGCTAGATTTAGCTTTGATCTTTAATAATGATTTATTTTCTTCCATACCCAGGCATCTATTGAATATTGGCACAGCTATTTAAGAAACTTGCAATACTGTGTCCCTCTGATCTTTTCTTATTAATTACTGTAGTTTACTCTTGACAAATAACATTAATATGACTATGTTGGTAGAATATTTAGTATCTTTAGTATAAAAAAATTTAAACCTAAAGTTGTTTTTTATCAACAAATTATACAGAGACCATAGAATGCATTTGTCTTGACTCCGTTTTTTCACTCTTCACCTAAATTTCTAGACTACTAATTCCATCTCAGATTTTTCTGCCCCTTGTTTCCAGAGGGAGAAAACTTTCAGGTGACAAAAATTCGCAAAGCATGGAATCTAAAGTTATTCCCAAATTGAGGTTATTTGTAGAATTTTTTCAGAGTGCTCTGTCTTTTAAAAAAATAATAAATAATGAATATATAATTAGATTATATGTATCTTGCCTTACATTGGCTTAATGTCATAGAAATACAATTTTTTAAAAAAAATACTGCTAAATAGAAAAGCTTACTACTAAAGCAATAATAAAGCAACAAATATGTTTTCCTACAGTTATATGACTCAGACTGCTATAAAATTATATAATGGTTTGTCCTATTTTCACCTATACAATAATTTCTTAAACCTCCATGTTTGGTACTAGTCATGTCTAAAGTTGAAGTTGAACTGCTTCTGTTTCAGTAAAAGCAAAACCCCCAATAACTGTCACTGCAATACATTTTTTATTTCATGAACAACAAAGAAGATAACTTTTGTTACCTGTGCAAAGAGTGTTCAAAATAGGAATTTTTATACTGAACTATGTATGTGAGAACCACAACATAAGGTTGTGCTAGAATAAATTAACTTCAATTTAATTTCATATCTTTCCAAATCTAGGTTGGAATTAGGGTTGTGATTATAAAGTTGGCCAGAAGAATTTCAATATTTCATACAAGAAGTCTGTATAAAAATAATAGTTCTTATTTTAACAACTGTGTATATGTGGGAATGGATAAGGATTACAGTGTGCCAAAATTACATATGGAATGTTGTCATTCTAACTCAGAGTAGCATTCCTCTTAACATTTGGAATAAAGGGCAGACTGTTTGCACAAAATACAGAATTAAGATTTATAATCCTCCTGACTCTAATAAAGTTCCCTTTTTATTATTTATAGGCAAAATTATATTTTCAGTATTTATAGGCAAAATTTTAAAATTAAGTTAATTAGAAATTATAGGAAAAAAAATGCTTTCCTAAAAGAAAACAGTATTTCTCATTTTCTAAATTATTTTGTGGCACTGAGGCCTTGTGGTACTAGAATACAGAATATTAACTACACTGCCTGCCTTAGGATAATTTGACTCTGCAGCATATGGGTCCTCTCTGAATTGGGGTCAAACTATGCCCATAGTTGCCTTCATGTTGATCTAGTCTCCATTCCTGCCCAGGACAACCACAGGTACTGAAAGTCAAGGGACTGCTAGTCTCATTCACACCTGCCCAGGGATCTTTGAATCCTGCTTTCTTTCCTTCAACCAAAACAAATTTCAGAAGCATCTGAGGTGTGTTGTAGGTCATCTTAAATGTAAACTATGTCTGTGAGGATATAAAACTATTTTAAGTGTGTACGTGTATTGAGGATAGCTACTTGTTGGCTTTGAATTTGCATGTATGCTTAAGATCTTGGTTATAGCTTCTAGCTCAGAATGTCAGATACTTTATCACCATTTCTTTTTTTTTTTTTTTTTTTTTTTTTTAAAAACTATTG